ATACATATATGTGTGTGTATTATCATATATATGTATATTAATGTAAATACGGATATACATATATACATATATACATGTATTATCATACATATATATATCTATATATATATATATATATATGTATATATGTATGTATGTATGTATTTATGTTTTTATTGTATAAGTATATGTATATATATATATATATATATAACTGGCACAACTGTAAAGCAATTAGATAGGCGTGCATTCAAGATGTGAAGTTAAACGTATAAGAGACCATATCTCGCAGTCTTTGTTGAATCGCTTTCAATTTTTAATGGCTGACACCAAGTCATTCAAACATCACAGAAAGCACCTTGAACATACATGTCACTCTTTATACTAGTCAAACTCATCCATGGACAACAAGTAGACAGCGCACAGGAGTGGAGATCACTACGATTACACAAGTGGCAGTGCAAGTGCAATGGTTTCACCCTTTTTTATTTTCTACTTCAAACGCTTACTCCGACTTGGCAGCGTTCTTGATAGCCTGACGTCTGGAGACACCTCCACGACCTCCAGTCTTGGCCTTCTGTGAGCGCATGATGGCCATTACTCGCCTGCGACAAGAATAACGAGGGGTGGAAAGTAAGCAGACGAGCTTGACAACAAAGCAATATCAGACAAGAACGCAATACGTTGTTGGGCAGATTTACATCCAGGCCTGTCGTATTAACTCAGTCGGATATGATTGACAAGGGATCGCACTGGAAAATAACGGGCTTTCAGCTATCTACCGTGCAACTACCACCACAGTACACAGTAATTTTTTACTGCCACTATACACAACACGATCGATTCTTAAATAGCGTACTATTACACTCACTCTCATACATCTCGCGCAATAGTGTTTTTAATGCAGATATCCCTACAGAGCAGGATTTTCCAAATACCTTCCAACTAATGCACGTCCTTTACAGGAACATTCCCCTTACGTAGTATAAGTCCGTGTATGAATGTATACGAAGTGAGTCTTTCTAAACCACACTCAAGCCATCTAGAACAGCTTGTGCAAGTTTTGAAATGACTCCATTGGAAGGATACTATAATACTTCTATGGAATATATGCGTAATCGCGTGCATTAGGAGCTTATTATATAGCTTACGAATACAATCTAAGACTTCAATTATAACACTAATACTTCGCAAAAAAATCTTGCACTCCATAGCAGACCGAATTGGCTTATACAGACAAAATTATAGATTTGCCACAAACAGGTCAATATGTAGGCAAGCAGCAACATATACATGGATATCTTAGAACAATTGATGAATAAAAAGTATTACACAGAAAATAATAAAGTGAAGACTGTACACCCAATCCATACCTTGTGGCAACATCCGCAAGATCGGAGCGGTAGTGGTTGGCAACAACATCACCATGTACAGACTTGACTACACGGCGGGCACCATTTTTTCCGTTGAAGACGGACTTAGTCACGCCCTTGGCGGGTTTGATCTTAGCGGCCTTGGTCTTCTTGGATAGTACAACTCCGGTCTTGCCGGCCGTGATGCCGACAGCCTTCTTGTTGCACAGACCACTGTACTTGAACGAGTTCAAGTTCTTAAGGTTCATGGGCTCAGAGTTGAGACATAGTCCGTGACTCTTCTTGATGAAACAAGAAGTGTCTTTGGTGATAAGCCACAGTAGATCAGAAGACATATTGACGCTCTGTATGAGGGTGGGTGACAAATACAGGCAAAAGATTTAGGGTATATTCCAGGTGCACCGGTACTAAGCTCTCGTACTGATCTCAGAGAACTGCGCCGAGAATATGCGATCACTTAAAAAGAATAGCGGTAGCTAAAGATAGCCACCCCATGTTGCTGATAAACCAACTCGGAACAGATCTGCGATGAAGGTTACAAGAATTATTCATAATGATAGCCGATCGCCGTCAAATAGTCTCGCTGTACATGCTATGTATGCGACGGCACGAGCAGTGCTATTGGTGCGTGTGCTTTGCTGTCGGTGATTTTGTTTGCTGCCGGTGACTTTTCTGCGCGAAGACTATTTGTACAGTATGGGCAAACCCATCACACACAGATCAGCCGACACGGAGTACTACGAAGCCTTCGCATCAATTTAGGCTGAGTGTGTTTATAGACGAGCGCACAGAGTGATATACATGCGAAGACATGAAAAGCACTGGGTACGCACGGAAAGTGTTGGATGTTGTGCGAATGTGCTTGTCATAAAAAGGTCTGCGTGTGCGCCTATGCATCGGTTACATAGTTCGCCTCGAAGTTACTACAATACATGCAGTCCAACACTGCACATGCGGTCCACTCTACGCCTCAAAACTATTTATAGGGTCATGTTTGATATGCTTAGTCCAAGTGCTGTAATGTTCGCATAATGTCTTTTGCCTTCCTTCACGAGTATATCCACCTCCATCCACAATAATCCACTATTCATTGTTCATGTCTGCCTTCGTGAATGCGAATGCAATCGTATTGTTGTGTTGTCTTTCGTATATTTAAAGCATGTATGCTTATCAACATGTATGCTTATTCTAACTTATCTCCCGTAGTATATTGCTTTCGTGTATTGCTTTCTGACCTACGCCCGCTAAAGACGCATCTCTCCATGCATGTATTTACCTGTGTCTGAATACGTGCTAAGGGAAGAGAAAGTGCCTTAGCCCAAAGGATTGTTATATAAACCTCTAATTTTTGGCTCGGGCCAGAATTTCACATGCACTCACTCTATGGCCAATCACTGGCAATATAAAACAGGGCCATACACATGGAGGGAATACACAAGAAAATATCTACCCCATTAATTTCTGACTAGTTTTCTTATTTTGTCATAAATTCATCACTGAGTGACCGTTTCTCGTTAAAACGTTTTTTTAATTATTGTTTTCAGCAACGGAAATCCAACTGGTTGATTCTCAAGTGAACAGAATATATTTTTTACGTTAAAGTAAAAATACAACGCTTACCTCTGTGGTGCAAAATGAATTGACATTATTTTAGTCACGGCGTTTGGTTCTACATGTTTCACCAGAGAAATGCTGCAGGCGGGTTGCTAGCTGCTGCGGCATATCTGTAACTATATGTATGTAGTGTATTTTTATTTATGTGTTCAAACATACGAACGAAACGACTTTTCGGATATTTATATTTGCTTCTATGTACCTGACACCTCTGCGTTGAAGTTCACTGCTTCAACTCTCAATATATATGGATTATTATATGTAGCTTAATATTATGTATGTATATGTATTTGTACTGTCGCTATGACTGACTGAAAATAGTGGCTATTGAAAAGATCACATAGAATTGCTTAATGGAAACTTGCTAGGCCTGCCAACGATGGATATAGTGCCCAGCACGCAAAACGCATATAAAGTGTTTCTTCTTCTGAGGCAGTACTTTAATTCCTTATCTGTTGCATGTATTTGGTACGCAAGAAATGTACACATATGTACACATGTAATTTTTTTCCAAGTAGACTGCCATCTTCATGATTTGATCTTGCATATCCGAGTACGCGTTCTTAACAAGCAGACCAAGTGTTACTTGCGCTGCAGCATCGCGCTGATCTGGCATATAATTAAAAGGTAGTCGTAGTAGATGTACCTAACTACTTTTATTCTATACTCATGACGACTGTTAGTGTTGACATACCCTTCTTTTAAATGATATAACTGAATATAAGTTGATTAAAAAAGACGTCTATCTCAAGAAAAATCAATTGGCAAACTATGGTAGGGATGCGGGCAAATGACTACTCTAGTGAACCTCTTTTAGTGGTTTGCACAAAATGAGCTGTCCAATCGATTTAAAGGTTTCAGTACGCACTCTCAGATATATTGACCATCTGTGCACACCTGACCGTCTGAGGGAGTGAATGAAATTAAGCACGCGTCGCTCGTCCCTTGTTGATAAATTGCTATTGATTTTGAAGAGATCTAACTATCATTGCGCGTGCAACACCACACAAAATATGACGGCAAAAGAATTCTTGATAAGTTTTCAAGTGGAAGTAAACGTAGACTGATGATTGTGTCCTATTATACTAATAACCCGTACGCCCGGGTCGAACCTGAATATTCAGCGCGGACGACATTAAATTGTATGCGGGCCTTGGTTTTCCACGTACTTTAATTTTTACTAATTGTTACTGTGCGCTTAGGCGGACAGAAAGTTTTCACCGGCGGCGATGTTAGCCTTCAGTGCATCGGTAGCAATATCAATGTTCTTTTGCTCGAAATCGGAAACCTTGCCAATGGGGTTGATCTTGGAAATACCCTCCTTTCCAAGTGAAATTTCAGTGGAGAAGAAAGATACTCCATCCTGAATAGATGAGTATACATACGCACACTCTGTGATATCCTCACCGTTCATGGCCTTCATAACACTGTTAGCGAAGCGTGCACCAGCAAATGCCATGGATAGAGTAGCGGATCCGGCTCCTGCCTTGGCCTCAACTACCTCAGTGCCAGCGTTCTGAATGCGGTGTGTAAGCTTCTCAGCTTCCTCCTGTGTGAACTCGCACGCGGGTGTGGTGCGTGACAGGAGAGGTACGATAGTCACACCAGAGTGTCCACCGATCACAGGCACATTCACGTCGGTCACGTTTAGGCCCTTAAGCTCGGCAACAAAGGTGTTTGCGCGAACGATGTCCAAGGTGGACACACCGAAAAGGCGCTTCTCATCGAAGCAGCCTGTGAGTGAAAACAAGTTAAGATGAGGTCAGTATGTACATATCAGCAGCAAAATGGGTCAAATTTAAATGGTGTTCAGGCAACGAATGGCTGAAGACAATTCATGGTACTGTTTAAAAGTGTAGGGAATGAATAGAATTATCAAACACAAATGAAGGACAGGGATTGCAGTTAAAAATTTCTCACAAGGAAATACCCCTACTCCAATCTAAGAGTATGTGAAGCTTCAGCAATCGTCTGTTCCTATAAAAAAAACTGTTGATTGAAAGAAGGCTGGTTGACATACCCTTAGCCTTAAGCACACCAGCGAAGATGGGTACTGTCGAGTTTACGGGGTTGGAGATGACGCAGACCATAGCCTTCGGGCAAGCATCGGCAACTGCCTCTGCGATTCCCTTGATAATTCCAGCGTTGATCTTGAATAGATCATCACGAGTCATACCAGGCTTGCGGGGAACTCCGGCAGGGATAACAACAACATCACATCCAGTGAGTGCGGCGCGGATATCAGCGCCGTCGAAACCGTGGTGAGAAGTCACCTGCAGATGAGAACAAAATATTATAGACACGATCGTAAGTCTCAAATAGAAATAACGCGTGTCATTGAGCTTATCAACATACAGCATGGTCTTAACAAACCACACCTTCACGAAACAAATTCAAGTGACGCGATATATATACCTTGGCTCCAGTGTTGATGTGGGATAGATCAGCGGCAACACCAGCAGCTAGTGGGATAACATCAAACACGGACAGCTCCTTTACTAGAGGATCATTCTTTAGTAGAAGAGAAAGTGGTTGACCAATACCGCCAGCGGCACCGACGACTGCACATTTGAAAGCCATTTTGAATATTGAATATGAAGATTATGTGGAAATATCTGATAAGAAATCATTCAGGTTTTTGCTTTTTGTATGTTTTTTGTTTGTTTTGTTTATGACTCTTGTGTATGCAGAGTTGGACATGTTCAGGAATCACATCTGATCTATCAGGCGCAATCGTGGAAAAGCTGTTGTCGGATCCGCCAGCACCCGCCCTGCGGGCTGCGACTTGCGAGGCTGCGACCTACAGTATTGCACTGGATTCGAAATAAAAATCGAATACTTCGAAAATACGAAATGCTCAGTCCGCCGGTCGTGGTCCAGACCCCTGCCAGCCCCCTAGGCCCTGGCACAGCAATATATGTATTTCAACCAATTGAAAGTCAGATGAATACCTGATGCGTGGTGTCAACAAGTGTCAACGTTCCTATAAATACAAAAATAGTCACTGGTTTTTCTGGTGGGTACTACATATGGTACTAACATGGGCATGAGATTTTGTCGGGTGTCAAGTTGACAACTCTTGTCACACACGTTTGACAATTGACAGCCGCGGCCTTTGGCGTGGCGTGTAGCATGTAGCTTGTGGCCGGGCTGGCCTGTAGCCCCGTAGCCTGTGGCCAGTGCCTATGGCCTGTGGTTGTGGGGCGTAGGGCCGAGGGCCTGGGCCTGGGCCTGGGCACTGGGCTTGCTATGGCTCCGGACTGTGGGGTATGGGGAATTGGGCTGGGTTTGGGACTTTGAGTCTGGGACTCTGGGGTTTAGACACGGTGCCTGTACATTATTTATATCTCTATTATTCTTATTTTTCGTGAATAAATGCCCAAAAACCAGTTTTTTAAAATCCTTATTTATTTTTAGTTCAGAGTTCAGAGTTCAAGATGAGGGCCCGAGGGCCGAGGCGGACAAAAAGCAGGGCAAGCCGGTATTATATTTTTATTTGTTTTTATTTGTTTTTTTTAAACAAAACATATAATCGGTCATCAGGGCTGACAGGGAACCAGTATCACCACTAAATATTTACATCAGCCACATGCCCACATCATCACAAGCCCGTCAGCCATCAATCACATATTTAAAATATAAAATATTTAAGGCCTCTTGTCGCTTTGAGTTTGTGAGAACTGAGAAGGTGTCTTCACTTGCCTGACGTTTCTTTTTCTTTTTTGTTGTAAAAAAAACACAAATGTCTCATCAATTGATATCAGCTCAGATATATATATACTTCACGAGCATTTTCTTTTTTAAGTGTGAATGAGACTGTGATGAATCATGAATGTGACTGATCACTGAACTCAACACTAGCCACTAGCCAGTTGCCACCGCCAATGGTGATACAAATTTGGAATCAAGTGATCGTACTTTTTAAAAACATAGTTTTACATCGCGGAGTCGTAAATGTACATGCGTACTCAGTGAAAGGTAAATTCGAGAACTTCGCTTTTTCTGCGCCTGTGGTCGTGTGAGAGGATACTCGTCAGATCCCAAGTGTTGTAAACTTCAGTTAGGATTTAGCAGTGGTAGCTTGTGTAAGAATGATCGGGACTGCCTCTTGGTAAGAGCCTTGATATCCTCGATCACACAGGACGTCCCTCTAGCTGTACTTTATTGAATAATAAGTGTTCATGACCACATGTCTAGTTTGTAGATAGACATAAGAACGTAAGTCAAGTTAGTACATTAGCAAATATAAATAAAGTTACATCTGAAGAAAAGTTATAAATAAAAAAAGACCTATTTGGATTTTGGAGATTGGCGGGAAGACCAAAACCTGTAAGTAGTAGCTCAGCGATTATAAAATTTAGTTTATAATATCCTACATCTATTATCGTCTCAAATATGTCCAAGTAAATGAGTCATTACAAGTACTCAGGCTATTGGAGCCTTCAAAGTGAATTTAGAACACTTTGGGAATATTGGAAAAAGAACTTGTATTATAAAAATTTAAAACCCAATGTTATCTCAAGTGATCTTGATATTTTAGACTGACCGGAGGTCGTATTTCTACAGTGTATCCCTACTGCCGAGTTTTCTACTTTGGGTATGATATTTTAAAGACTATTTGTTTAAGTACGGAATTCTGAACTCGTAAGCAGGTAGTCCTATAACTGCAATAGTAGAAAAAGGAAGAGAGAATACATGCTAGGGATGAATACCTTAGATTCATAGGAATATTATTATTTATTTCAAAAAAGATGAGTTACAATGTATGTATGTTACAATGTATGAACATATGGTATGGCTCTCATAGCTGTTGTAGTGGTTCGGGAAAGATTGATGGAAAGAAGTGGTCAGTAAATTCTCGTTTGAAGCTTGGGCCAAGTGAGTTGACGATGGAGGATATGCGCTGAGTCTATTTGGACCGATGCTGACAAGACACTGATACCATCGAATGTGCCATGTATTCGCTTGCTGACCTACTAAGTAGCGTACTTAACCTGTGGCACGGATCGGTTCTGCGCTGTGTATTGCCGTGTAATGGGCTAGTGCAGAGTACGAAATACCGAGTATGACCAGGTTACCCGTCATAACTCGGTCTGTAAGATTCGGGCTAATAAAGGCGATACTAATGCCTTAGAATAAATAGACGCGAAGGTAAATTCTATATATCGTGTTAATATCGATACAAATAAATGAAATGAGATGTTTAATAAAGTTAGGTTTGCCTCGTGAAAACAGCAATACTCTGAGGGATTGTGAGGCTGAGACATTGCCTATATATAATCCTCTCAGTACTGTTTCCGCCGAAGGGATTTTATTTAGTGTTTTGTTGTCGCTCTATTCTGGGGCGAATCCGAGAGACTCATAAAATCCTATCTTTAGAAAAATTATATAAAAAAGAAAAAATACTCTTGACGTCTTTAGTTATTGTCTTAACCAATAACTTGCCACTATCAAGCATTACCGACTTAGCCTTCATCAGACTGGCACATCTGGTTGGCTGATTGGAGGATCAACTAGGTAATGTTAATAGTCCCTAGAAACCTATATTCGGTTGAGCCATCTCGCTACCGAAGTATTCAGATATAAATAGATTTGGAAAGTAAATATAAGTCTATTAATAGAACTAGACCAAATCTTATGGTACCCATAGGCGTGGGAGAGCAACCTTGTCGTATGCCTTGGTAATGTCCAGACAGACGTCGTTCTACTCCTCTTCTGACTGTGTCTCAGATTACATGGCGGCAAGTGCTTGGGTATGACAGGAGTACCGTGATTTGAGGCCAGCTTGGGTAGCATGGGTAGCAGAGCCGGGGTGGCTCGTAATCAGATTAAGAAAGCACTTTTCAAAGATGCGTCTGACTATTTGCGTAAGCGTGATGGGGCGGAAGTCGGCGGGGGAGGTGATATCTGCATCGGCTTTCTTTGGGTGCGCTGTCAGGAGGCTGCAGGGAAGGGCTGCAGGGAAGGGACCCGCCTTCAGTAGCTCAGTGAATGATTCGGCAAGGAGTATAATCAGTATGCTATTGGCGTCTGGGCGTCCTAATGTCCGGCGTTCGGTGGAGCGCTCCACTGCGGCCTTCAGGAGGAAGATGTGGATCCCGTCGGGGCCAGGCCCCTTATTGGGATAACGTAGTACGGGTTTGTAAAGTTGAATAGGTTCTCAAAGTAGCCAGCGAGGGTGGCGCCTGTGTCATCGGTACCCGGTATGTAGGGTTGACGCGGAGACCGTCGTTGGTACGCAATATCGTTGAACATTGGAGCATTGCTTTGGGGCCGCTGAACCCAGGGTATGTTTAAGTCATAATAGAACCCTTCGAAGACTTGTGGGTTAGCGACATAGCGCCAGATGCGGTTGAGGATCCGTAGCAGCCCCTCAGCTGGTCCGTGCAAAGTGATATACAACCGTAGTAGGTTCTAATGTGCCCGGATTTCGGCTTGGAAGTCTCTCACGGGATGTAGACAAAGTACCGTAGACGGGGATTTAGGACCGGACCAGAGGACCGGACTGACAAGAGGAATTTAGGACCGGACCAGAGGACCGAACCTAAGGGAAATATTTAGGTCCGAATCAGAGGCTCGGGCCTAAGAGGATTTTATTTGAAGAACGGACCCGAGGACCGGACTGGATATTAGAATATATAAGTTAGTGAGAAAGAATGATGACTCATCAGATGTCATCATTATTTAGTAACTAAAAGACCATAGTCTTAGATACGGAGATTTTCACAATCGGCCGTTGTTAGAGAAAATCTCGTCCCACATAGGAACGTGATTAATAAATACAGCAGGCGTGCTGTTCATAACGGCACTTCTGACTGAGTTCACTTATTTCAGACTGAACACTTTTGACTAAGCGCAACTCGGTTTTGACTACAGGGATTTGTTGCGTAGGTGATATAGTCGATGGCGATATCGGTTATATCCATGGGAGGGAAGGCGTTGGTCCGGATGTGGCGGCATTGTTGGCATTTGTTGGGGCCGATGGATTTGATTAGTGGGAAGTATTTGGAGATCGAGTCCAAAGATGTGGTCACCACAGATACCGTAGTCCGTCAGCTTGTAAGTCTGAAGGGAGGCGGGGGTGGTAAGGCAATGTTACGCATGTTCTGTTCTATTTGAGCCGCCAGCATAGAGGTAGTCCAAGTGCCACGTATTACGCAGGGTAGTCTCAATCGTTTTCATACGTAGTCCGTAATTTGTAGAGCGTGGCCATACTTCCGGGCTTTGAAGTTGAAATCTTCCCATACGACATCTGGTTGGAAAGCCAATCTCGGGGGGATTCATGTATCGCCTGACGTCGTCTTCAGTAAGTGATTTGAGTGGAAGGTAGAACACCGCCATATGAACGCCAAAACACACAAAAAAAAACACCACGTACGGTGAAGAGTGTACAAGTTGAAAGTTCGAATGGTGGTATTGGAAAAGATGCCAATACCACAGTGTGAAGGGTGTAAGATATTGTTCTGTGTATTGTGATGTAGAATATGGTAGTGTGTGTTCGAGCGTATATGATTAAGAAATGTGGTGTTATGCCAGGTTTCAACCATAAAATCGATATAACGTTCAAACACTTATCTGTATGTGCTGTGTTGTTCATGTTGAGTCTTTGTGGTTGTAGAGCGTCATCCTCATTGGTCCTAACATTGTTCATCATCGGTCAATACTACTGGGCTCTCTACTTTAACGATGTCAGCCATTTCTATATCGTTGCCGGTCGTCGAAGAGTCAGTCGTGGAAGGTTGAGGCTGCGTATTGGTAACCATCGTGTCGGATGGTTGTGTCGGGAAGACCGTTGGTATATAAAGTCGTCCGGGTTCCGCACGCGCTGGTTCTTTAGCGTTTGCCGGGATTCGCGGGTTATGTGAGAAGAGGTTTACATCATGTTTTGCTTGGTAAGCCTTCTGGAGATGATCCGCGGTAGATCGGAGGATGTCTGCGTTAGTGGAGCTGACAAGGGGGCTCAGTAGTGCATCCATGCTGCGGGCAAGAATTTTTGGCGCTCGTTCATGCGTGCAGCGAGCTCCCGCTTGGTGCGGAGATAATGGATTAAGGCTGCTTCCGTAGCGTTGGGATGTTGTTGGGAGCCGGGGTCGATGTTTTTATCAAGTTGCCATTTCCACGTAAGTGCTGCATGTCGTTTCACCTGGGCAACAGCGTCGCTAGGAACACAAAGGCGAACGAAACTGGTGGAGCTTCCGCGGCGATTTGGTTGAGATATCGATTTAGACGGGAGATACCCGAGAAAGTGGTGGCGATTGAGGACTGGTTGGGCATGCCAGTATTTTCAAATACTGATTGGGATGGGGGCTTGCCGTTAGGGAAAATTGCTCGGAAGAAGAGCCATACCGGAGTTATGTCATTCATTTCATGAAGAGTTTTGTCTGGCATCGGGCGGCCCACCACTTTCGTCAAAAAGTGTTCGGGTACTGCGGTAGGGACCGAGAAACTGGTGGGGTCGGACGTTTTTTAGGGCTCGGGTTTTCAGGTTTGTCCACTTTTGAGCGGTGGCTGGGAGGCTCACTGCTACTATTGGGCGCCTGTGACCGCAGTCTTTTTGCTGGCGGAGCAGGCGGGCTTGTGGAGCCAAACCGGAAAGTGTCGGGTGTGTCTTCATCTATAGGTGCACGGGTTTGAGATTTAAGGTCCCGGAGTTCGGATTCGAGGTTGTTTACTTTTGCACAGAGGTTAGTGAGCATTTGGTGCATGTTTAATTTCCATAGATTGGCCTGTAGAGTATTGACCTGGGCAGAGAGGTCTGTGATAGATTTTTGTATGTCCAATTTCCATTGGTCATTGGGCAAGGAGTCCTTGGGGACGAACGCCCCAGTTGGGGATTCGGCCTGGCCCGACATTTCTGTTTTGTTTTGTTTGAAAATCCAAATTTCAAGTCAGGTATTTATGCGACTTTTTGGTGAGGTCTGTGGGTTTTTTGAAAATTGTATTTAGTTCTATATTGATGACCTGCTGGTCACCGAGATTTACGTTTCGGAGACGAAAATTTGAATCAAAGGTCCGTCGTGAAAAATAAATATGGGGAAGTTGAAAACTAAATATATGAGCCTGCCATACATGTATGATCCGAAATATATATATATATATATATATATATAGTGGATATTTTGGAGTATGATATGATGAGAAAAAAAAATTGGCTCTTAGGCACAACTATCTGTCACGCCACCAGCGAAGATTGATTTTATTTACTTAGCATGGATAAGCACCTGCAAATACGCCCGCTAGAAACTAAATATCGATTCAATATATGGTATGAATCAACCGTGAAGGGATCTTCAAACTTGTGAAATGTGAAATTACCGGACGGCATTGATATTATGCTCGAAATGAATATATGTATTATATCCAACGGATATCTTCATTTTCGGAAATAAATCGCCATATAGTGGACGAACTATTGAAACCGATATCACTTCAGACAATAACACCGGACCCCACGAAATGAAAGCAAGAACAGGTAGCTAAGCGACGCACGTCGCCGTCTGTAGTCATCTTGCCGATAATAGCAGTACAGACATTCAAGCAACATGTGACTTGGTTGAGGTACACGTGTGTTTGAATCTTCGGCAGATCAACGTTGTGCTCGTACCTGGTAATCAGTTCACCCTGCCGAAAGTCAGTGAGATCATTGGGGGCAAAGCTCGTCAGATGTATTTAGTACCTATAAAAAAGCTTCTGGCGTTAGAGTGGTACACTTTCATAATCATCTAGTGGGATGCAAAGGGTTCCGTTCCACTCATGCAACCATAAGACGTGGTTATACAACAGTTTTACATAGCTCAAACTCAACATCATGCTTCAATGGTGGCACAGGCATCATATCATCGTACAATTATACTTTACGATCACTTGATTTCAACAAACTACCGGTCACATATGGTAATCGCGTTTATGAGGGCACATCAGTTTTTAACTTCCTCATGAGTTTCTACACATCGTGTTAGAAGATGCACAAAGGCTTCTTCGGTCAAGCACAAGCACGCGTAAGGCCTAATGATAGCAATACAATGGCATTTATAATGCTCAGTTGAAACAGAGTACACCAGTACTGGTCGTATGACAAAAGAATGCGGTGCATTTAAGTTTGACTGGAGCAAACAAAATGATCCACCGTGGAGGCTCATCCACCAAGTCTTGCGCAGGATAATGACTGAAAAGGCGTCAGCAACGAATTATATACCGTTAAACACTAAAGCGCTGTGGTTTTCTCTTCTACTACTCATGATGTAGACAGAATTCCTGTTGATACTAAGGGCGCTTCATACGTTCTTGTCAAAGAAAATTCAACCAGACTGCCGACACGATAGCCTTCTTGATCTGATCCTACGCCAATTGATGTTCTTGCTTCCAATAAACGATATCCAATGGGCTCCTTTGGCTTAAGTTTAGAAGACGTTCGGAGTGGAGCCACCTTATGTGCAAAATTAGGTAAATGCTCATATAGGAAGTTTGCCAATCCCCTAACACAGAAGCAATATCCCTTTGACACCGTGGAATGGGCCAGTCAATTAAACATTGCTGTTTCTCGTGAAACCCCTTAGCTGATATTTTCTTTCCCAGGACCATCACCTCTCGCACAGCAAAGTGACATTTCTTCTGATTAAGTTTGAAGTTGTTCTCCGTCAAGCGTCGAATGACCTTTTGAACTGTAGCGATGTGCTCCTCGTAATCGTCCGACGCAATTATTAGATCATCAACATAGCATTGCACGTCCAGTCCCGCCATCAAATTGCTGATTGTGCGCTGAAATTTTGACGTGAGTGTGTGTCGTCTACCCAAAGGGAGCTGACGTGAACGAGCATTGCTGACTGTCCCATGTAAACGAAAACATGTGCTGCAAATCTACGTGTACCGGTAAACGATGGTATGCGGCCGATAAGTCTAATGTGGTATAGTAGGGCTTGCCCTTCGAACAGCTGATAACTTTGTTAACCTTCGGAAGCGTAAATTGATCGCTCGGCATAAGAGCGTTGATCTACCGTAGGTCCAAGCACACTCGCACACTGATAAGTTCTCCCGATGGTGTGAATGATTGTACCGCCAACAATGGAAGGTTAATATCGACGCAGGTATTCGACGATTGGTGACCAACTCGTGTTCCCATTTGTGTACTTGCTTCGTTATATGTGGTTTCTACTTATCAGATACAGAGTTTCTTGTCTGCCGACGTAAGCCCAGAGTTTATCTCGATGAATATGGAGTGACACTTCACTACCTGGGAGTGTACAGCGAGCCGCATTCAAAATGGTATCATTAGCATCCAGGTACTGGCGTAAGCGTTTGCGTATGTCATCTGGCTCGGACAAGTCGGGGACCATTCGAATATTCATCGGTTCCAGTAGTTCATCCATAACATTACGATTAATCTCTGGAAATGGAGATACTAATCCGGTTAAGCCTAATACCCTTAATATCCATACCCAGCAATATATCAATATTATCCGGTAGGTTTATGAATTCAAACGTACAATCCTCAGTAGTAGCTGACCCGTACTGGACCTTTGTTGCTTGTGTTTGCTCAAACGTGGAATCCGGAAGGCTATGTCCGCCAAATATATGTAACTATCTTTGGCCGGTGGTGAAATAGAAAGGTGTGCCTTAGCTGCGGATGCCTGAGTGATGACTGAACGGTTGGCCCCCGTGTCAATAAGGGTGCGCATGTCATGCCCGTTCACTTGTAAATTAACATATACACGGTTGTCAGTAGGAAACACTTTATCTTTTACTGCAAATATTCTTGTTGCCGTACGACAAAAGGACATGCACACATTCACATCAGGCACCCCAGCCTGTTAATCCGAATCTGTTCCGTCGGGTGTCTGCTCTTCCTCCATCAACTCATCGTCACTCTGCACATACGACACATCGACCAAGTCATGAAATTGTCTCGGTGGGTGGTTGATCAGGCACAATATCACTGTCCACTACGTTAACACAAGGCCAAAAATTAGTACTCGATCCGTGAGTTCCGTGTGTCAATGTGCTTGCATCCGATGTACGTTGAACTGTAGCCCTACCATGTTGCGTACGGCTACTAGTGATAGCCTGGACCGGTAGTCGTTGTAAGTTAGAACAACGACTTGCATATTCTGGTTCCGGCGGAATTTTTTGCTCACATGATCGACAACGAACCCGTGGATTTGACGTAGGCAGTTCATGCGGGTTAGTGCGTCTATTCGCCTCCGTACGCAAATTTGAACGTGGTCGTGAGTTCCCCGGAATTCATTGTGGTCGCGAGAACTTATCCTGACGATTTTCTTCTACTTTGTCAATGATCACACGGAATACATCACGCATCTTCCCAGGCGAATAGTTTTGCCAATGTGGATGCATTCGAAGAGTATCACGGTACTATGTCCCACCTGCAGCTTGGCGTATAAGATACAGTATACCATGATTGCGGTACACTTGGAGGGGTTCTCATACTGTCGCATTTCCATGAACTCAACCTTGCGTTCAAAATTACGAATCTGAGTATCAAGCGGAACCGATGGTTTCTTCTTCATGCACGCTAACACCTGGTGGTATGCAGAATCCCCCAAGTCTTGTTCTTGTGTACGTACAATAAAAGCAGTGGCATTCTCAAATGTCATAGACTGTGATTTTTGCTCGTTTTCCACAATAGAATCTAATAGCGCCTTAGGAGCCCCTTCATGCTGCAGAGCCCGGTGTAAACCCATTTGCATGTGAATCGGTTCTAGCTTGTAAAATTGCGCATTCTTATGCCAGTCCAAGATAAAAGCATGTAACTGTATTTTCTGCGGAATAGTTGCCCTGTGGGTTGGGCGGCCATTCCTTCGGTGTTTGTTTGTCGACCGTTATCGAACACGTCTTCAGAGTCTCATTTGACGCACGAATTAGACCCTGTAGCGCACGCACATCATCTATGCGTCTGCCATCTATTTCTGCATGAATCATTCGTTGAGTCAGTTGAAAAACTTACATCTTCATTTCGGCTGCTGTCGATGCAGTAGTGCTAGGTTCCGTAGGTTCCGAACACTTATATCGTTTCACCGTCTGTGATTCTTCCAAGTAGAGGCCGTGATGAACAGAAAAGTGTGGTATACAATTGTATCAATAGAGACATTCGCCGCATCCTAAGAATTATCCTGTAGCTCTTCTGGGGACCGTGGGCGACGGTGACGTTGCAACTTATCACGAAATAAGTTTGTTGCCAAGTGTCCCTGGTTCATCTGTTGCTGCAGAGACTTCATCACTCTGCGGAAGGCATTAAAAGAACGTTTTGCCGACGACTGTAAACTTCGATGGAAGTTACTAGGTTTCAAACTATA